ACGAATAAACAACAAATTTTTAAAGATTGAACTTTAAAATACATATATCATCCTTCTCTTCTTCAGGCTAAAAATGCCCAGCTCCTTAAGCCGCTCCTCATAGGGCTTGTTCTCCAGACCCTTGATCATTTTAGCTGCCCTCCAGCTTGTCAATATCTCTCTTGAATTGTGGTGCCCAGAATTGAACCCAATATTCCAGGTGTGGTCTAACGAAGGCAGAATAGAGCATGGGGAGCATGACTTCCCTGGCACTATGTCTCTCTTGATGCAGGCCAAAATCCCATTGGCTTTTTTTGCCGCCGCATCACATTCCTGGCTCATGTTTAACTTGTTGTCCACGAGGACTCCAAGATCTTTTTCACACGTACTGCTCTTGAGCCAGGCGTCCCCCATTCTGTATCTTTGCATTTCGTTTTTTCTGCCTAAGTGGAGTATCTTGCATTTGTCACTGTTGAACTTCATTTTGTTAGTTTTGGCCCATTTCTCTAATCTGTTAAGATCGTTCTTTTTCTGGAGTATTGGCTATCCCTCCCAATTTGGTGTCGTCTGCAATACTGTAAAGCAGTGTTTCTCAGCCTGGGGATCGGGACCCCTGAGGGGGTCGCGAGGGTGTGTCAGAGGGGTCGCCAAAGACCATAAGAAAACACAGTATTTTCTGATGGTCATGGGGATTCCATGTGGGAAGTTTGAGCCAATTCTATTGTTGGTGGAGTTCAGAATGTTCTTTGATTGTAATGAACTATAAATCCCAGCAACTACAACTCCCAAATGTCAAGATCTATTTTCCCCGGACTCCACCAGTGTTCACATTTGGGCATATTGAGTATTCATGCCAAGTTTGGTCCAGATCCACCATTGCATGAGTCCACAGTGCTCTCTGAATATAGGTGAACTACAACTCCCAAACTCAAGGTCAATGCCCATCAAACCCTTCCAATGTTTTCCATTGGTCATGGGAGCCAAGTTTGGTTCAAATCCATCGCTGGTGGAGTTCGGAATGCTCTTTGATTATAAGTGAACTATAAATCCTAGCAACTACAACTCCCAAATTACAAAATCAATCCCCCAACCCCACTAGCATTCACATTTGGGTGTATTGGGTATTTGTGCCCAGTTTGGTCCAGTGAATGAAAATGCATCCTGCATATCAGATATTTACATTATGATTTATAACAGTAGTAAAATGACTGTTATGAAGTAGCAGCGAAAACAATATTATGGTTGGGGGTCACCACCACATGGGGGACTGTATTAAGGGGTCACGGCATTAGGAAGGTTGAGAACCACTGGTCTATGATAACGTGCATTTGCATTTGCAGTTGTGTGTCTACAGAGAGCCAGCATAGGTTTGAGCATTGGACTACAACACTGGAGACCAAGGTTCAAATCCCCAGTTAGCCATGGAAACCCACTGGTTGAGCTTGGGCAAGGCTTTGATGAGAGGCCTGTGTGTGTTTTTGCTGCAGCGCTAATGTTCACACCGTCTCTCCCCATGTCACTGATGCAAGCATTATTCCAGATGGTTGTTGAACCAACTCTGCACACACAAAGCTTCCCTTTGTTTGGGGTTGGGGGGCTCTGGAAAGTGAATGTGCAGCAAACCCAGCTGCTCCAAAGCTTTGTTCCCATCCTGTCACAAACAAAGGTGTCCTTTGGCTGTTTGGTATCCCTCAGGATCTGGAAAAAGCTCTCCCCGAACATGGTGACTGTGAAATGTGCTAAGCTGATTATCAGCATTGTGTCCCGAGTCCAATGCTGGCAGAGTGCGCCCCTCTTTTTTGTGGCAGTAAGAGGGATTTTGAAACCCTATTTTAAGCATTTGTTCCTTGCGATTTGTTGAATGAAAGACCCCTCTTTTGCTCTTCAGGCTTGAGACTCCTTAAACCAGACACAGACTTTTCCCAGAATAGAATGTGGCCCATCTTGCATAATTATCTCACTTGTCCATGTATTAATATTTCAATCAAATGTGTGATGATTTCTCTCACTGGTTCAGAATCCTAATTCTCAGTTTTTCCTTCTTCCTTACCATCTGTGTGCTTGGGAGCCTGTTTCTAAATACATCTCTCACATAAAATGAACATACACAATTCCATTCAGTATTTGTTTTTTGGTTTGACCCACAGAACAGCTTATAATTATAACTTGCCTGTTAAAATAAACAGAATTCGGTTTTTTTGCAAGCATGGCATGTAGAGTTGGGTGGAAGGAATGCAGTGTTTTCTGCAGTTTTGGAGAAAATACCTTGTCCTTCATGCTGCGTTTTCTTCTATAGTAGTGGTTCTCCACCTTCCTAATGCTGCGACCCCTTAATACAGTTCCTCATGTTGTGGTGACCCCCAACCATAAAATTATTTTCATTGCGACTTCATAATTGTAATGTTGCTCCTGTTATGAATCGTAATGTCAATATCTGATATGCAGGTTGTATTTTCATTCATTGAACCAAATTTGGCACAAATGCCCGATAGGCCCAAATTTGAATACTGGTGGGGTTGGGGAGGGGGGAGAGATTTGTCATTTGGGAGTTGTAGTTGATGGGATTTATAGTTCACCTAATCAAAGAGCATTTTGAACTCCACTAATGATGAAATTGAACTAAACTTGGCATACTGAACTCCCCTGACCAACAGAAAACACTAGGAGGGTTTGGTGGGCACTGACCTTGGGTTTTGGAGTTGTAGTTCACCTACATCTACAGAGCGCTGTGGACTCAAACAACGATGGATCTGGACCAAATTGGCACGAATACTCCATATGTCCAAATATAAACACAGATTGAGTTTTGGGCGTGGGCGTGAGCCGGGTGAGGGGGCTTTGTGCGAGGCCAGGCACGATCATCAACATAGATTAAAAACTCTGTCCCTTCTGGCATTGGTTGGTCATTTGTGTCGATAAATATGGATGGAGCAAGCACACTCCACTGGGGCAGGCCGATGAGAGACTCCCTCCTGGGCACACAGGCCGCTCTTCTGTTTTTGCCCTGGAACTCAACAAAAAAGCTCCTGTTTTGTAGCAGATATCCTATGAAGTGGGTGAGGTGGTAGTCCTTTGTGATATTAATTTCCCTGTAATAGGCAGCAAAAGTACCTAAAACTTAAGAGTCCTTCTGTTCAACCATTTCAAAGTTCCCTGCTTGAGCAGTGATTTCACGATCGTCAGCATAGTTGAGACTCTCTTTCTCTTCTGGCATTGGTTGGTTATTTGTGTAGATGTTAAATATGAATGGAGCAAGCACACTTTGCCGAGGGAGGCCAATGAGAGACTCCCTCCTGGGCACACAGGCCATTCTTCTGTTTTTGCCCTGAAACTCAACAAAAAAGCTCCTGTTTTGTGGCAGATTTCCTATGAAGTGGGTGAGGTGGTCGTCCTTTGTGATATTAATTTCCCTGTAATAGGCAGCAAGAGTACCTAAAACTTCAGAGTCCTTCTGTTCAACCATTTCAAAGTTCCCTTCTTGAGCAGTGATTGCACGATTGTCAGCATAGATGACATACTCTCTCTCTTCTGGCATTGGTTGGTCATTTGTGTAGATGCACTTGCCCTATAAGCCTTATATACCCCCTGTCACATCAGCACTTTTAATCCTGTACCCATTACTCTGGCCCAGCCCAGTTTTATTGTGTCTTAGTGTATAGTTTATTGCTTGTTGTGTATACTGCTTTAATTGTTTTTAATTTGCCTTAGGTTTTGTATTGTTTTATTGTGTGTTGAGGCCTTGGCCTTTGTAAGCCGCATTGAGTCCTTCGGGAGATGCTAGCGGGGTACAAATAAAGTTTAATAATAATAATAATAATGTTAAATATGGATGGAGGAAGCACACTCTGCTGAGGCAGGCCGATGAGAGACTCCCTCCTGGGAACACAGGCCGTTCTTCTGTTTTTATTTATTTATTTATTTACCTTACTTATATACCACTGTTCTCAGCCCGAAGGCAACTCACAGCAGTTCACAACAAATACGAACAGCAAAAATTCAGTGCTACAGTATAAAAACAGTTAACAACCTAACACATTACACGACCCATTCATTGTCGTCTCGTCATCAAAAACATGTTCCAGATTCGTCATCCATTGTTCCATTCCAGTGTTCATTAACCAATCATTGCACTAATTATTCGAACGCCTGCTCAAACAACCAGGTCTTCACTTTTTTGCGGAATACCATTAGAGATGGTGCTAGTCTAATGTCCGTAGGAAGGGCGTTCCACAGCCGAGGAGCCACCACCGAGAAGGCCCTATCTCTCGTCCCCGCCAGCCGAGCTTGAGAAGCAGGCGGGATTGAGAGCAGGGTCTCCCCGGAAGATCTCAAAGTCCTGGTGGGTTCATAGGCAGAGATGCGGTCGATAGGTAGCTTGGGCCGGAACCGTTTAGGGCTTTAAAGGCCAACGCCAGCACTTTGAATTCAGCCCGGTAGCAGATCGGTAGCCAGTGGAGTTGGCGCAACAGGGGGATTGTATGCTCCCTGCGCTCCGCTCCTGTTAAAATCATGGCTGCCGAGCGTTGGACTAGTTGAAGCTTCCGAGCTGTCTTCAAAGGCAACCCCACGTAGAGAGCGTTGCAGTAATCTAGGCAGGATGTAACCAGAGCGTGGACTACCGTGGCCAAGTCAGACTTCCCAAGGTACGGGCGCAGCTGGCGCACAAGCTTTAGCTGTGCAAATGCTCCCCTGGTCACCGCCGAAACCTGGGGTTCCAGGCTCAGCGATGAGTCCAGGGTCACACCCAAGCTGCGAACCTGAAACTTTTTTTTGCCCTGAAACTCAACAAAAAAGCTCCTGTTTTGTAGCAGATTTCCTATGAAGCAGGTGAGGTGGTGATATTAAGGTTGAGAACCACTGTTCCAAGCCTTGCCTGCCCCTGTTATCCTCTCCTCCTTTTTGTACTGATGCTTTGAGAGAGAAAGGCCCAGGAGAGCCAAAAAAGAGAGAGCCAGGAGTGCTCCAAAAGCATGTGATGCTTCTGAGTAGAGTCGCGGAGGTTGAGTCCCCAAAGCCTTGAGTAACTCTCACCTTTTGTCCCAACAGGGCCAGCCTCTCTGCCACGGACTGTTATATCGTCCACGAGATCTACAACGGCGAGAACGCTCAGGACCAGTTTGAGTACGAGCTGGAGCAAGCCTTGGAGGCCCAGTACAAATACATTGTGATTGAGCCGACGCGCATTGGCGACGAGACGGCCCGCTGGATCACGGTGGGGAACTGCCTGCACAAGACCTCTGTGCTGGCGGGCACGGCCTGCCTGTTCACCCCGCTGGCCCTCCCGGCCGATTACTCCCATTACATCTCGGTGCCGGCGGGCGTGCTGAGCATAGCCTGCTGCACCCTGTACGGGATCTCCTGGCAGTTCGACCCCTGTTGCAAGTACCAAGTGGAGTACAACGCGTACAAACTCTCTCGCCTGCCGCTGCATACGCTCACCTCCTCCACCCCCGTGGTCCTGGTGCGGAAGGACGACCTGCACAGAAAGAGACTGCACAATACGATAGCCCTGGCGGCCCTGGCGTACTGTGTAAAGAAGATTTATGAACTCTACGCGGTATGATTGCGGCGGGCAGGGGAAGGAGACACCGCCTGCAAAGACAGAACAGAACAAAACAAAAACAAGTGTGTTCAGGACTCCCACAGCTCACGCTCGGCGCTTCCTCTTGAAGTGGGAAAAGCAGCCCGGTTGACCCACAGATAAATATATATATATTTTCTCCCCCTTCTTTTGGGTTATTTTCTAAAATAAACCACACGTCACTGGGTGCATCAAGGGATATATTTTTTTTCCAGTTCTTTTCCTACACCTCAGGCGTGGATCTGCAGTGAAACGGGACGCTGTGGGAGCCAAAGTCAGCCGTGGAATGTCAATGGAAGGAAGTGATACACAGGAGGGCAGAGAGAAGCGGTGTTAGCTTATTATTATTTTTTTCCTTTTTTGAGAAAACCTTTTAAGTATATTGTTTAATTGTATTTTACAGAAGCAGCTCAAAATATCACTGACCATTCATTAAAGGACGAGTATTTCAAAACGCTTGCTTTCTTTGGGGTGCCAGGACTCACTTGTGGGCTCATGAGCTTTGAGAAAAGCTCTTCTTAACAGCTCTGGTTGAGACTGCAGTGAGGGTTCATCTCTTGAAGAGTTTGGGTTCTTAATCTTTGCTTACTTACTTTATTTACTTAGGCGATCCCTCGTTTTCTGAGGATGATTGTCTTCCAGTGTTCTTGTGGGTCCGTATGTGGTTGTGGAGCCCTACTCTTGCTCTGCATCTTCTCCCGCAGTGAGGGCATTGGTTTCCAGTAGAAGGCGGTCTCGGTCGGGGTTGGCTTGACGCGCCTTCCTCTTGGCACGCTTCTCCCTTTCGCCCTCCATTCATGCCTCTTCAAATTCTGCAGCACTGCTGGTCACAGCTGAACTCCAGCTGGAGCACTCAAGGGCCAGGGCTTCCCAGTTCTCAGTGTCTATGCCAGAATTTTTAAGGTTGGCTTTGAGGCCATCTTTAAATCTCTTTTCCTGTCCTCCATTCTTGAGTTCAGAGTAGAGCAACTGCTTTGGGAGATGGTGGTCGGGCATCCGGACAAACTGGCCGGTCCAGCAGAGTTGGTGGCAGAGGACCATCGCTTCAATGCTGGTGGTCTTTGCTTCTTCCAGCACGCTGACGTTTGTCCGCTTGCCTTCCCAAGAGATTTGCAGGATTTTCCGGAGTCAGCGCTGATGGAATCGTTCCAGGAGTTGCATGTGACGTCTGTAGACAGTCCACGTCTCACAGGCACCAGTAGAGAAATATCTTTGCACCAGTAGAGAAATCTTTGCACCAGTAGGGAAATATCCTTATCTCTTCCAAAATGTTAACTTTTCTGGCACTTGGACTACTTTGAACAGACCGAGGGCTGGATGCAGCCCCTTGACTCTTTTCTCAGCCCCCCTCTCTTTCTCATCATCCTATCTTATCCTCCTTCCCTTCCTTCCTTCCCTCCCTCCTTCCTTCTTTCTCCCTCCCTCCTTCCTTCTCTTCTACCCTTTCGTCCTTCCTTCTTTCCGTTTCCTCCCTCCTTCCCTCTATCACTTTCTCCTTCCTTCTTTCTCTTTTATCTTTCCTCCTATCCCTCCTTCCCTCCCTTCATTCCCTTCCACACTTCCTTCCTTCTCTCTTTCCTTCCTCTTTCCCTTGCTTCCTCCTTTCTCCCTCCCCCTACCTTCTATCTCTTTCTCCTCCCTTTCTTCCCTTTTATCTTTCCTCCTATCCCTCCTTCCCTCCCTTCATTCCTTCCCTTCCCCCCTTTCTCCTTCCTCTTTCTTTCTCCTCTTCCCTCTCTTTCTCCTTCCTTCCTTCCCTTTCTCCTTCTCCTTCCTTTCCTCCTTTTCCCTTCCTTCCTTCCTTCCTTCCTTTTCCTTCTTCCTCTTCTCCTCCTCTTCTCTCCTCCTTCCTTTCCTTTCTCCTTCCCTCCCTTCCCTCCTCCCTTCCTCCTTCTCTTCTTTCTCCCTTTCCTTCCTCCTCCTTTTCTCCTCTTCCTCTTCCTCCTTTCCTCTTTCTCCCCTTTCCCTTCTCTTCTCCTTCCTTTCCTCTTTCTTCCTTCCTCTTCCCTCCTTCTTTCCCCTTCCTTCTTCTCTTTGTCCTTCCCTTCCTCCTTCCCTCCCTCCCTCCCTTCTTTCTCCCTCCCTCCTTCCCTTCCACCCTTACCCTCCTTTTATCTTTCCTTCCTCCTATCTCTCTTCCCTTTCTCCTTCTCTTCCCCTTTCTTCTCCCTTCCTCCTCCTTTCTCCTCCCCTTCTTCCTTTCCTCCCACCTTCCCTCTCTTTCTCCTCTTCCTCCTCCTCCTTTTGTCTTCCTTCCTTCTATCCCTCCTCCTCCTCCCTCCTTCCCTCCCTTCTCCTTTCCTCTTCTCTTCCCTCTTCCTTCCCTTCTTCCTTCCCTTCCTTTTCCCTCTTCCTTCCCTTCCACTCTTCTCTTTCTTCCCTTTCTCTTCCTTCCTTCCTTCCTTCCTTCTTCCTTCCTTCTTCCATCCATCCATCCCTCTCCTTCCTTCCTTCCATCCTTCTCTTCATCCTTTCTATCTTTCCCTTCCACCCTTTTGTCCTTTCTCTTTCCTCCCTCCTTTCATCTCTTTCCTTCCTTCTCTCCTTCCTTCCTTCCTTCCTTCCTTCCTTCCTTCCTTCCTTCTTTCCTTCCTTTTCCTCATACTCCTTTCCCCTCTTCTTCCTTCCTTTTCTCCTTTCCTCCCTCTCTCCCTTCTCTTCCTCCCTCCCTCCCTTTCTTCCTTTTCTTTTTCCTCCCTCTTTTCTTCATGGGGAATGTTTAGTTGGGAGAAGAGAAGGGAGAGAGGGAACATGAGGCCATGTCTCAAAGATTTCAAAGGGTGTTCCATTGAGAAGGAAGAAGGAGGGGGAAAACTGACTTCCTGCTGCTCTGGAGACCAGGACACACAAAGGGAACAATGGGTCCAAATGGCAGGGAAAGAGATTCGACTGAAAAGATGAGGAAGGACTTCCTGAGAGTAGGAGCTGTTGGAGAGTGGCCTGGGCTGCCTCAAAGTGGAGTCTCCTTCTCTGGAGGCTTTTCCATGGAGATTGTCTATTAGGAGTGCTTTAGTTGTGCCTTCTTGCATTGACTGGGTGGCCCTTGGGGGTCTCTTCCAGCGCTAGGATTATATATCTGTACTAGCTGTGCCCACCACACGTTGCTGTGGCCAACCTTCCCCTCTTTCTCTCCTTCCTTCCCTCCCTCTTTCTCTCCTTCCCTCCCTCTCTCTTTCCTTCCTTCCCTCTTTTTCTTTCCCTTTCCATTCTTCTTTCTTCCTTCTCTGTTTCTTTCCTCCCTCCCTTTGCTCTTTGGTCCCATCCTTCTTTCCCTCTTTCCTTCCTTCCCTCCCTCCCTCTTTCTTTCGTTCCTTCTCTCCTTCTCTCTTTCCTTCCTTCACTTTTTTATTTCCTTCTCTTTTTCCTTCCTTCTCCCACCTTTGTTTCCTTCCCTCTCTCCTTCTTTCCCTTCTTCTTTCCCTTTCTCTCCCTTCTTCTCTCCTTCCTTCCCTCCCTCTTTCTTTCGTTCCTTCTCTCCTTCCTTCTCCCACCTTTCTTTCCTTCCCTCCCTCTTTCTCTCCTTCTTTCTTTCTCTCCTTCCTTCCCTCCCCTTTCCTTCCTTCCCTCTTTTTCTTTCCCTTCTTCTTTCTTCCTTCTCTGTTTCTTTCCTCCCTTCCTTTGCTCTTTGGTTCCATCCTTCCTTCTCTCTTTCTTTCCTTCCTTCCCTCCCTCCTCTTTCTTTTTCCTTCTTCCTTCCCTCTCTTTCCTCCTTCCTTTTTTCTTCTCTTTTCTTCCTTCTCTACTTCTTTCCTTCCGTCTCTCCTTCTCTCTTTCCCTCTTTCTCTCCCTTCTCTTCTTCCTTCTTTTTTGTTCCTTCCTCTTTTTCTTCCCTTCTCTTTCCTTTTCTTCCTTCTCTGTTTCTTTCTCCCTCCTTTCCTCTTTTCCATCCTTCCTTCCTCTTCCTCTTTCGTTCCTTCTCCTTCCTTCCTTCCCTCTCTTTCCTTTGTCTACTTTTCTTTCCTTCCGTCTCTTCTTCCCTCCATCTTTCCCTTTTTCTCCCTTCTTTCCTTCCTTCCTTCCCCCTTTCTGTGTATATATGTTTTGTGTGTGTATATATGCATGCGTGTGTATGTGTTTGTGTATATGTGGGTTTGCGCATGCGTTGTTTTTGCTTTTTACGTCCCTTCTGCTGTGTTTCTCAGTGTTTTTAGGAGTGATAGTCACTCGTTGGCCTGAGAGGTGTCTTGTGTCCAAATTGGGTGTCAATTCGTCCAGTGGTTTTTGAGTTTTGTTCATCCCACAAACGAACATGACATTTTTATTTATATAGATTTTCTTTCAACCATTATCCTCATTGATCTCAACTGATTGCTTTGCTATTGTGCACAGCACTGCTTTGGTGTATCTACTCCTGATCTAGTCTCCTGTTACTTTGGCTGGAAGGGTTTCTCTGCTCCGAGTGCGCAGGGGATCTTTTCTGTAGAAAGAGGAGAAGTAGCCGATGCTCAGGCTGGGTCTGGGCTTTGTGGAAGGAAGTGCGTAACCGTAATCTTCCCTCCTGCAGGTAGATTCCCGGCTGAAGGCGGGCGCTGCGGCCTGACCTTTGTGCCCTGCGGCGTGGGACCTTGGAATGGCATCCTCCAAGGCCAGATACGAGGCTAATTTTAGCCCTCGGAAATGTAGCAGAGCTGACGATTGCATTGCTTCTGTGCACAAGGTCAGCTGGGCCGAGGGGTGAAGTCCTGCAACTATCTTGTAAGGAGGTGGCTTTGGAAAAGAGGACACGGCTTTACTGTTTTGCAATCCTCCTCCCTCAGGCAATGCATTGGGAGAAGAATATATTCCACTTGTCATGCTCCCATGCTTCCCCTTTCCATTGCAAAGTCAACTGGGTAAAAAAAAGGTGGCAATATGTTTCCTTGAGACTTTTTACCCAGTGGATTTTTTTTTAATGGAAAGGGGAAGCATGGGGCCTTCTCACAGACTAAGGCTTTGCTCACACAGAGGCTTCTCTCTCTCACCAAAGCTTCTCACATACTGGGGCCTTCTCACAGACTAAGGCTTCTCTCACAGACTAAGGCCTACTTCTCTCACCAAATCTCATACACTGGGGCCTTCTCACAGACTAAGGCTTAGCTCACACAGAGGCTTCTCTCACAGATCAAGGCCTACTTCTCTCACCAAAGCTCACACACTGGGGCCTTCTCACAGACTAAGGCTTAGCTCACACTGAGGCTTCTCTCACAGATTAAGGCCTACTTCTCTCACCAAAGCTTCTAACACACTGCGGCCTTTTCACAGACTAAGGTTTAGCTCACACAGAGGCTTCTCTCACAGATCAAGGCCTACTTCTCTCACCAAAGCTCACACACTGAGGCCTTCTCACAGACTAAGGCTTAGCTCACACAGAGGCTTCTTCCACAGACTAAGGCCTATTTTTCTCACACACTGGGGGCTTCTCACAGACTAAGGCTTAGCTCACACAGAGGCTTCTCTCACAGACTAAGGCCTACTTCTCTCACCAAAGCTTCTCACACACTGGGGCCTTCTCACAGACTAAGGCTTCTCTCACGACTATGGCCTACTTCTCTCACCAAATCTTCTAACACACTGGGGCCTTCTCACAGACTAAGGCTTAGCTCACACAGAGGCTTCTCTCACAGACCAAGGCCTACTTCTCACCAAAGCTTCTCATACTGGGGCCTTCTCACAGACTAAGGCTTAGCTCACACATAGGCTTCTCTCACAGACCAAGGCTTACTTCTCTCACCAAAACGTCTCGCACACTGGGGCAGTGGTTCTCAACCTGGGGTCCCCAGATGTTTTTGGCCTTCAAGTCCCAGAAATCCTAACAGCTGGTAAACTGGCTGGGATTTCTGGGAGTTGTAGGCCAAAACACCTGGGGACCCACAGGTTGAGAATCACTGCACTACAGTATTCTCACAGACTAAGGCTTAGCTCACACAGAGGCTTCTCCCACAGACTAAGGCCTACTTCTCTCATCAAAGCTTCTCACACACTGGGGCCTTCTCACAGACTAAGGCTTAGCTCACACAGAGGCTTCTCTCACAGACCAAGGCCTACTTCTCTCACCAAAGCTTCTCACACACTGGGGCCTTCTCACAGACTAAGGCTTAGCTCACACAGAGGCTTCTTTCGCAGACTAAGGCCTATTTTTCTCACACACGGGCCTTCTCGCAGACTAAGGCTTAGTTCACACAGAAGCTTCTCTCACAGACTAAGGCCTACTTCTCTCACCAAAGCTTCTCATACACTGGAGCCTTCTCACAGACTAAGGCTTAGCTCACACAGAGGCTTCTCTCACAGACTAAAGCCTACTCGCATCTCGCACACTGGGGCCTTCTCACAGACGAAGGCTTAGCTCACACAGAAGCTTCTCTCACAGACCAAGGCCTACTTCTCTCAACACACTGGGGCCTTCTCACACACTAAGGCTTAGCTCACACAGAGGCTTCTCTCACAGACCAAGGCCTACTTCTCTCACCAAATCTTCTCACACACTGGGGCCTTCTCGCAGACTAAGGCTTAGCTCACACAGAGGCTTCTCTCACAGACTACCTCACACTGTGAGGCCTTCTCACAGATTGAGACCTTTCTCCCACTGAGGTTTACCTCTAACTGACAGCTACTAAACTACAGACAGGTTATTTAGGGCCTCTGCTGTAAAGGTAAAGGTTTTTCCCTGACATTAAGTCCAGTTGTACAATATGAATGGGTTCCTGAGTCAATACGTACTACACAATAGCCCACTTGTACACCAAAAGAAAAACAAACCAGTTCAGCCAATAATATGACTGGTGAAACTTGCACAGTTCCAAATCATAGCATTCACAAAACAATATTATATATATATATATAGGTACTGTCACTCAAAAAAGTATCAACGACGTATGCTCTTGCGTCGAGTTGCCCATTTTAATTAGGAAGTCGGGATCGGCTGCAAACGAAGCCATCTTCCCTTTCTTGCAATTGAAACGCATGACTAGTAGAAAATCTACCGAGCGGTAAGCCAGTCATGCTCTGATGCGGTCGAACATACAATGCAAGGCTGCCGTCACAAATGCGAGGGATGCTGTCTGTTCACGATCGCTGCATGACATGTAGGAGTGCACATATGCACGACGGGAGACGTTTCCAGGTAGACACGCAGGTAGGAAAGGCCACAGAGAACCTGCGCATTACTCCCACCCAACCCTTAAATGCAGTGACATTAAAGAGACATACAAGAATATAAAGTTGTAATTTCCATGCTGTTTTCTATAGGAAGTCAAGCATGAACGAGTGGAAATGTGCTGGAAGTGCGTCTGATGTATTGACTTCAGTGCACACGGCTCCCTTTGGGTTTCTTGCGGTTGAAAATAATCCCTCTTCAACGTGTTGTCAAAGTCTTTCATGGCCGGAATCAATGGATTGCTGTGAGTTTTCCAGGCTGTATGGATATGTTCCAGCAGCATTCTCTCCTGACGTTTCTCCCACATCTATGGCAGGTATGTTCGGAGGTTGTGAGGTCTGTTGGAAACAAGGCAAGTGGGGTTTATATGTCTGTGAAATAATGTCCAGGAAGGGAGAAAGAACTCTTGTCTGTGTGAGGAAAGTGGGAATGTTGCCATTCGCCAGCTTGCAACTGCAAAGTCAATCAGTGAGGGTATCTCCATAGAGGTCTGTTGGAAACGAGGCAAGTGGGGTTTATATGTCTGTGAAATAATGTCCAGGAAGGGAGAAAGAACTCTTGTCTGTGTGAGGAAAGTGGGAATGTTGCCATTCGCCAGCTTGCAACTGCAAAGTCAATCAGTGAGGGTATCTCCATAGAGGTCTGTTGGAAACGAGGCAAGTGGGGTTTATATGTCTGTGAAATAATGTCCAGGAAGGGAGAAAGAACTCTTGTCTGTGTGAGGAAAGTGGGAATGTTGCCATTCGCCAGCTTGCAACTGCAAAGTCAATCAGTGAGGGTATCTCCATAGAGGTCTGTTGGAAACGAGGCAAGTGGGGTTTATATGTCTGTGAAATAATGTCCAGGAAGGGAGAAAGAACTTGTTTGTGTGAGGAAAGTGGGAATGTTGCCATTGACCAGTTTGCAACTCCAAAGTCAATCAGTGAGGGTATCTTTATAGAGGTCTGCTGGAAATGAGGGAAGTGGACTGTGTGTGTGTGTGTGTGTGTGTGTATATATATATATATATATATATATATCTGTAGAATCTCCAGGGTGGCAGGTGGAACTCTGATTGAGGCAAGTGTGAATGTTGCAATGGGTCAGCTTGATTAGCACTGAATGGCCTTGCAGCTTCAAAGCCTAGCGGCTTCCAGCCTGGGGGAATCCTTGGTTGGGAGGTGTTGGCTGGTCCTGATTGTTTCCTGTCTGACATTCCCCTGGTGTTTGAGTGTTGCCCTTTATTTACTGTCAATTTTGGAATTTTTTTAAATACTGGTAGCCAAATTTGGCTCATTTTTATGGTTTCCTCCATATATCTGTGGAATGTCCAGAGAGGGAGAAAGCAAGTAGCCAGGCTTTGAAGCTTCAAGGCCATTAATGCTAATCAAGCTGGCCAATGGCAACATTCACACTTGCCTCCAACAGACAAGAGTTCTTGCTAACACCTCCCAACAAAGGATTCCCCCAGGCAGGCAACATTCTGCTTCCAACAGACAAGAGTTCTTGCTCCCAAAAAAAAGATTCCCCCAGGCAGGAAGCAGCCAGGCTTTGAAGCTGCAAGGCCATTCAATGCTAATCAAAGTGGCCAACGGCAACATTCCCACTTGCCTCCAAAAGACAAAAGTTCTTACTAACACCTCCCAACAAAGGATTCACCCAGGCAGGAAGCAGCCAGGCTTTGAAGATGCAAGGCCATTAAATGCTAATCAAAGTAGACTATGGCAACATTCACACTTGCCTCCAACAGACAAGAGTTCTTGCTAACACCTCCCAACAAAGGATTCCCCCAGGCAGGAAGCAGCCAGGCTTTGAAGCTGCAAGGCCATTCAATGCTAATCAAAGTGGCCAACGGCAACATTCCCACTTGCCTCCAACAGACAAGAGTTCTTGCTAACACCTCCCAACAAAGGATTCACCCAGGCAGGAAGCAGCCAGGCTTTGAAGCTGCAAGGCCATTCAATGCTAATCAAAGTGGCCAACGGCAACATTCCCACTTGCCTCCAAAAGACAAAAGTTCTTACTAACACCTCCCAACAAAGGATTCCCCCAGACAGAAAGCAGCCAGGCTTTGAAGCTGCAAGGCCATTTAATGCTAATCAAAGTGGACTACGGCAACATTCACATTTGCCTCAGACAAAGAGTTCTTGCTAACACCTCCCAAGAAAGGATTCCTCCAGGAAGGAAGCAGCCAGGCTTTGAAGCTGCAAGGCCATTCAATGCTAATCAAAGTGGCCGAGGGCAACATTCACACGTGCCTCCAAGAGACAAGAGTTCTTGCTCCCAACAAAGGCAGGAAGCAGCCAAGCCTTGAAGCTGCAAGGCCATTCAATGCTAATCAAAGTGGCCGAGGGCAACATTCACACGTGCCTCCAAGAGACAAGAGTTCTTGCTCCCAACAAAGGCAGGAAGCAGCCAAGCCTTGAAGCTGCAAGGCCATTCAATGCTAATCAAAGTGGCCTACGGCAACATTCACACTTGCCTCCAAAAGACAAAAGTTCTTGCTAACACCTCCCAACAAAGGATTCCCCCAGACAGGAAGCAGTCAGGCTTTGAAGCTGCAAGGCCATTCCATGCTAATCAATGCAACATTCTCACTTGTCTCCAACAGACAAGAGTTCTTTCTCCCTCCCTGGACATCATTCCACGGATATCTAAACCCCACTTGCCTCATTTCCAACAGACCTCACAACTTCTGAGGATGCCTGCCCTAGATGTGGGCGAAACATCAGGAGAGAATGCTACTGCAACATGGCCAGGCAGCCCGGAAGGCTCACAGCCACCCAACCGTTTTTGAGCAGGACAACAGCCAATCTTCGGGTGTCATGCTGGCTCCCAACTGGACACAGCTCTTCATCTGCAGGGAAGAGAGAGATCGAGGCGAGTGTCCATGCTCCGTGCGCAGCCCCACACGCCTTCGGGTCGGCCTCTCCCGCTCAGAGTCAATGGTTCTGGGGCTAGGAAGCCTTGTCTTTCCTCTCCTTCCGCGCCCGGGAGGCCATGATGGCGAAGAAGAGCCTCGGGCACAGCGTTCGGAGGTAAACTACCACAGAAGGCAGGAAGCCCGCCACCACCACCTCCTTCCGCTTCTCTCCCACAGCGTCGAGGACCACCTGCGCCACCTCTGCCGCCGCCTTGCCTCCGGCCGTGGTCTTGTCCATCACTGAAAGGAGGAGAAACAACAGGTGTGTGCAGAGGTCAGAAAATGCCCCTTGCCCAGAATTTTAGGGATTTTAGGAGCTGCCGTCCCAAAAAGTAAATCCGTGGGGCACCTGTCGAAAGGTGGGAGAGATACGTGATGTATAGTTTTCTCCTTCCAATCACATCCTCCCTAAATTTTCCCTGTGTGGTCAGCTTTGAATCACACATTTGGTATATTCCTCGCGCAGGCAGCAACGGATTAGAAGAGAAAAAAAATAACCCATACATTGCAGAGTCCTTATCAGTGGTCAGCAGAGTTTTACTGCACTGTCTGACCTTGCACAGCGCACTGTTTAAGAAAGCTCTTTGACTTTGTTTTCATCCAAACACACAGTAGAGCAGTGTTTCTCAACCTGGGGGTTGGGACCCCTGAGGGGGTCGTGAGGGGGTGTCAAAGGGGTCGCCAAGCCCGGTAAACAACAGCAGCTAGAACAGTGTTTCTCAACCTGGGGGTCGGGACCCCTGAGGGGGTCGTGAGGGGATGTCAAAGGGGTCGCCAAAGACCATCAGAAAACAGTATTTTCTGTTGGTCATTGGGATTCTGTGTGAGAAGTTTGACCCAATTCTATTGTTGGTCAAGTTCAGAATGCTCTTTGATTGTAGGTGAACTATAAATCCCAACAACTACAACTCCAAATGTCAAGGTCTATTTTCCCCAGACTCCACCAGTGTTCACATTTGGGCATATTGAGTATTCATGCCAAGTTTGGTCCAGATCCATCATTGTTTGAGTCCACAGTGTTCTTTGATTGTAGGTGAACTATAAATCCCAAGAACTACAACTCCCAAATGTCAAGGTCTATTTTCCCCAGACTCCACCAGTGTTCATATTTGGGCATATTGAGTATTTGTGCCAAGTTTGGTCCAGATCCATCATTGCATGAATCCACAGCACTCCTCTGGGTATAGGTGAACTACAACTCCCAAACTCAAGGTCAATGCTCACAAAACCCTTCCATTGTTTTCTGTTGGTCATGGGAGTTCTGTGTGCCAAGTTCGTTTTGAATCCATCGCTGGTGGAGTTCAGAATGCTCTTTGATTATAAGTGAACTATAAATCCCAGCAACTACAACTCTCAAATTACAAAATCAATCCTCCCCCCAACCCCACTAGCATTCACATTTGGGCATATTGGGTATTTGTGCTCAATTTAGTCCAGTGAATGAAAATCCATCCTACATATCAGATATTTATATTACGATTTATAACAGTAGTAAAATAACAGGTATCAAGTAGCAACGAAAACAATATTATGGTTGGGGGTCACCACAACATATGGAACCGCATTAAGGGGTCACGGCATTAGCAAGGTTGAGAACCACTGCAGTAGAGGCTTTAATCTTCACCTGTTGCTTTATGTGTTGGGTGAGTGGGCTTATTGACAAAAGACCCTTATAAGGATTATCCCAGGAAGGATCACACCGCTATGCCACCAATTATACGGAATATCACAGGAAGGGGATAACTGAACATATATTTGAATTTATCAGGCAGGGAAAGATATAACTGTGAACGACTGAACTGAGAGGTTTTGTAACTGTTTCTTCAATTGGGGAAGGCTGCCACCTTATTGCTTAGTATTCAGGCTGAGTTATATGTGTGGAGAGGATATTTAATAACACCATTCCGTGTTACTATGGTGTTTGTCTATAAAGCTATTGTCCTCCCAACCCTGCTCTATGCCTGCGAAACGTGGACTGTCTACAGACGTCACATGCAACTCCTGGAACGATTCCATCAGCGCTGCCTCCGGAAAATCCTGCAAATCTCTTGGGAAGACAAGCGGACAAATGTCAGCGTGCTGGAAGAAGCAAAGACCACCAGCATTGAAGCGATGGTCCTCTGCCATCAACTCCGCTGGGCCGGCCACGTTGTCCGGATGCCTGACCACCGTCTCCCAAAGCAGTTGCTCTACTCTGAACTTAAGAACGGAAAACGGAATGTTGGAGGACAGGAAAAGAGATTTAAAGATGGGCTCAAAGCCAACCTTAAAAACTCTGGCATAGACACTGAGAACTGGGAAGCCCTGGCCCTTGAGCGCTCCAGCTGGAGGTCAGCTGTGACCAGCAGTGCTGCAGAATTCGAGGAGGCACGAGTGGAGGGTGAAAGAGAGAAACGTGCCAGGAGGAAGGCGCATCAAGCCAACCCCGACCGGGACCGCCTTCCACCTGGAAACCAATGCCTTCACTGTGGGAGAAGATGCGGGTCAAGAATAGGGCTCCACAGCCACCTACAAACCCACAAAAATAGTCATCAAGGAAGACCATCTTACTCGTCCAACGAGGGATCACCTAAGTAAGTATGGTGTTTATTTTCCTCAGAGGGTTTAAATACCAATGACGTTCACACACAGGCTGTTGTAATGTGTTAACTATAATAAAACGTTTATTTAACAGGCTTAAACTCTTCTGGTACAAATGCGTAATGGTTTCTGTAAGTGAATGGCACAAAAGCTTTTGGTTACGTTTGATGTACAATTCTTAGATGGGTATTGGGTTCAAATCTAGAGTTAACAAAACAGGAGATTATCTCAGGAAACTAATCTCTGATGATAATTCCAAACCAAATTCCCTCTTTCTGGAATCTAGCCAAACAACCTGGGCCTAGCTTTCCTCAGGAATAAAAGAAACAGACCATAAGCAAGGTCCTGTTCCCACTATTAGTATTCCTGGCTAATTCCTCTAGCCCTTAAATACTACAAAAGATTAACCCAATTCTCCTATCTAGTACTATCCAACCGTCAACACCAACCGACTACCTAACTCCCAACTGACAAAACTCAAGCCTCAAATTCAAAAAGTACACTTTTTTCTTCTATTTGAATATTAGGCTCCGCCCCCTATTACTAACCAATCCTGGCCGTCTACTCTTTGCTTAGTGAACTAGGACACCCCCCCTTAAGAAAACCTGACCTAAGATGGCGTCTCCCTGTTTCCCTATCTTAAGATGGCTGCCAGGGCTTCGCTAGGCCCACATTCTGGCTGCTAAAGGTAAAGGTTCTTCACAACTCTCCTCATAAATACACAGCAGAGTAACTTGTTAGCAGCAGCGTGACCCAGCACCAGTAGCCCAAAGTGACAAAAAGAACCAAAACACACACAGACCAATGTTATATTATCTCTTCCTTAGGAGGCTTTTCTTTATAGCAAAATAATATGGTTGAACTATTTACAAGAACTAGGTTTCCACAACACAAACAAAATTTTTATACTTCCTTCTTTGCTTTCACGCTGGCCTTCACTCTCATGCTTTGTTCTCACAGAGCTTTCTCTCACACTGAACTTACACTGGAGCTTCACACAGTAGCTTTACACACGAAGCTTTCAACCTAGAGCTTCTCTCACCAAAGCTTCTCTCACCAAAGCTTCTAACACACTGGGGCCTTCTCACAGACTAAGGCTTAGCTCACACAGAGGATTCTCTCACAGACTAAGGCTTACTTCTCTCACCAAAGCTTCTCACACACTGGGGCCTTCTCACAGACTAAGGCTTAGCTCACACAGAGGCTTCTCTCACAGACTAAGGCCTACTTCTCTCACCAAAGCTTCTCACACACTGGGGCCTTCTCACAGACTAAGGCTTAGCTCACACAGAGGCTTCTCTCACAGACTAAGGCCTACTTCTCTCACCAAAGCTTCTCACACACTGGGGCCTTCTCACAGACTATGGCTTAGCTCACACAGACGCTTCTCTCGCAGACTAAGGCCTACTTCTCTCACCAAAGCTTCTCACACACTGGGGCCTTCTTACAGACTAAGGCTTAGCTCACACAGAGGCTTCTCTCACAGACTACTTCTCTCACCAAAGCTTCTCACACACTGGGGCCTTCTCACAGACTAAGGCTTAACTCACACAGAGGCTTCTCTCACAGACTAAGGCCCACTTCTCTCACCAAAGCTTCTCACAGACTAAGGCTTAGCTCACACAGAGGCTCCTCCCACAGACTAAGGCCTACTTCTCTCACCAAAGCTTCTCACACACTGGGGCCTTCTCACAGACTAAGGTTTAGCTCACACAGAGGCTTCTCTCACAGACTACCTCATATTGTGAGGCCTTGATCCCCACTTCCCAAATGGTTTTGGACCGGCTACTCTTTCTACTGAATGATCACCACAAATTGCAAAGGCAGTGGAGCACTGCTCACCTCCATACTGAGATCCATCTGCGGTTATGGCGTTCAGCGACAGGTTGGTCTGGATGTAGCCGGGGCTCACCACGGTCACGACCACACCGTACTGCTCCACTTCGGCTCTCAAGCAGTCAAAAAAGGCCTGGGAGGCGTGCTTGGAGGCTGCGTCTGGAAGACCCAAAGAGGAGAGGCTCAGTCGCTGAATTACGTGTTAGAACTCAACCATTTCTGCAAGTTTGCAGTCCTCATCAAGGACTTAGTTGGCAGGGAAAAGCTTGTTTCTCTCTCTCTCCTCTTACTGCAGGCATGGGCATACGTTGGCCCTCCTCCAGGAGCTTTGGACTTCAACTCCCACAATTCCTAACAGCCTATAAAACAGGTTGCTTTACGGGAAATAGATATATATTTTGGGCACCGAAAAACACTTCTGGAGAACTGCTATTGTTTATGCACTGGCCTATTTAGACCCACAGAATGATCGGACAATGCGATGGAAAAAGGGAGAGGTAGGAATAGAAAATGTGTAAATGAGGGGAGCCCAAGAAGGATAGAAGAGCGGTGTCAGGCCTTCGGTTTAGGGAGGGGGAAAGTGCGTCACAGGGGCAACGCTACAGATGGGGCAAACAGAAGTGGGATAAATGGTAAGTATTTGAGGTAAACCTTTCCCACTCCTGCCAACACCTCTTTTTCCCCTGTCTCCCAAAATAACTGTTTGTTGAGGCTTTTCCGTAGTATCAGGATATTACAAATGCTGGAACTATCACAAAAGCTTGATGATTGAATGATGCGCAGTAGAGATCTTTTGAAAGTTAAATAGAACAAGATTTATTTATAAGAACAGACCACTAACTACTTCTGAGAGGTACAAAAAGTGTGACTTGTTACAAAAGTACTTCAGCTTGATGGTTGCTTGAATAAGTTTCATCTCACTTAGTTACAGACAGAGCTAATCAAACAGCTGCTGGTAACAAAAACCTCACTCTACTTCAGAGAAATAGTAATGAGTTTCTGACTAACCTATCCTAGGTAGTCCCTGGGTTGTTAACAAACACTTCCCTAGAGTTCTTCCTGCTGACTAACCCAGCCTAGAGAGCTAATCTCTTGTGTTAACTCTCACAAGAAATCAGATTACTGCCTGACCTTTTCCCTTTCAGCTCACAGCACTGTCTGACACAGACACTCTCTCCCTGAAAACCCAGTTTCAAAAGCCCTTCTTCACACACCAGCTCCCAGTTCTCCACTCTCACAGAAGCTCAAAACTTTTCCCTCCTAAGACTTGCCTCCTCCCAACTGCTCTAGCCCATCTTAGGAGACTCCAAACTCCTCCCATCTTCTAACTATCCTTCCTCAAGATGGCTGCTTCCCTGGCTTCCACTCCCAAAATGGAGGGTTGCCATACTGTTATCCAGGCTTCCTTTCAGCCCTACAAGGTAAGATTCACTACACTGACACTTCCAAAGCCCGTAATAGGAGGAAAGTGTCCTTCCTGAATTTGTTGTCATGCTTGCAAAGGAAGTACTCACATGCGGACCGGAAGGGGAGCCCGAATTTCCCTTGAACGCTGCTGATGGCGACAACGTGACCTTTCCTCCTCCTGATCATGGAAGGCAGAAGAGCTAGAGAGAGGAGGAGAACGATGTTACACCAAATATATGTTGTCAGATAGTGTTCAATTCAACTGAGGAGACATACATAAGATTCCAGATGCTTTTATCCAGGTAAACCTTAGAATCCTAGAGTTGGAAGAGACCTCCTGGGCCATCCAGTCCAACCCCATTCTGCCAAGAAGTAGGAAAATGGCCTTCAAAGCACCCCCGAGAGATGGCCATTCTGCCTCTGTTTAAAAGCCTCCAAAGAAGGAGCTTTCACCACACTCCAGGGCAGAGAGTTCCACTGCTGAACAGCTCTCAGTCATAGGATCATAGAATCAAAGAGTTGGAAGAGACCTCCTGGGCCACTCAGTCTAACCCTTCTGCCAAGAAGCAGGAAAATGGCCTTCAAAGCACCCCGAAAAATGGCCATTCTGCCTCTGTTTAAAAGCCTCCAAAGAAGAAGCTTTCACCACACCCTGGGGCAGAGAGTTCCACTGCTGAACAGCTCTCACAGTCATAGGATCATAGAATCAAAGAGTTGGAAGAGACCTCATGGGCCACTCAGTCCAACCCCATTCTGCCAAGAAGCAGGAATATTGCATTCAAATCACCCCCGACAGATGGCCATCCAGCCTCTGCTTAAAAGCTTCAAAGAAGGAGCCTCCACCACTCTCTGGGGCAGAGAGTTCCACTGCTGAACAGCTCTCACAGTCAGGAAGTTCTTCCTCATGTTCAGATGGAATCTCCTCTCTTTAGTTTGAAGCCATTGTTCCATTGCATCCTAGTCTCCAAGGAAGCAGAAAACAAGCTTGCTCCCTCCTCCCTGTGGCTTCCTTTCACATATTTATACATGCTATCATATCTCCTCTCAGCCTTCTCTTCTTCAGGCTAAACATGCCCAGCTCCTTAAGCCGCTCCTCATAGGGCTTGTTCTCCAGACCCTTGATCATTTTAGTCGCCCTCCTCTGGACACATTCCAGCTTGTCAATCTCTCTCTTGGATTGTGGTGCCCAGAATTGGACACAATGTTCCAGGTGTGGCCTAACCAAAGCGGAATAGAGCATGGGGAGCAGGACTTCCCTAGATCTAGACACTAGGCTCCTCTTGATGCAGGCCAAAAGTTCTTCCTCGTGTTCAGGTGGAATCTCCTTGTAAAACATCATACAACATTAGGTGAAAAATTATAAATTCCCAGGAGCTCAGCAGTCATGTTTCCTTCAGAACAACAAGCATAGCACTGAGAGAGAAGGGAGGAGCTATTACATCACATCTAGAGCTACAGCGTTTCCTCGCTACTTTACGGTTCACTTATCGCGGGCTCGCTGTTTCGCGGTTTTAAAAATATATATGAATTTAAGTAGGGGAGGTTTGGGCTGGAGGTTTAGCACTGCTGGGAAATCATCAGCAACTATATGATCTATCAACTGAAAGGTTGCAAGTTCGAAGCTGTGGGTCGAAATGAGCAGCTGACCGTCAGCCCTGCTCACTGTTTACCTAAGCAGTTTGAAAACAGCTTTAGCTGTAATTAGAGAAATTAGGTACTGCTAAAGCGGGGGAGGTGTTTTACAATGTCATAAAGAAAAAGATCAGAAAATGCTGGAATGAGGAAGTCCTGATGGATCTTTGTCATAGAGGATGGAGCAACAGCACTCGAGCCCAAGCGTCCATGGTATCGAAACAACACTTTCTTCTGTTCTGTCTGTGTACTGTCTATACAAACGGCATTGAGTGTTTGCCGTGTATGTGTACTTGTGATCCGCCCTGAGTGAGAAGTTAGTCATTGCAGGCCCTAATATTTTTTAGAACGGTGTCTCCAAAATTACTAGCTCTCATACGGTCACCCACACTTTTTCAATGAGCTGGTGGAGTTGTTGTGTCAGCTCAGGTCCTCCCTCTTTAAAGATTTCAGCAGGGATCCCATCAGGTCCGCTGGCTTTGTATTTTTTTTTTTGTTGGCTGATGGCATTGCTGACTTCTTCCAAACTAGGCAGTGCTGCAAGCTCATTCCTGGTTTGTTGTTGCGGGATTGGTGAGAGAACCTCTTCGGCCACATTGGAGCTGTGGTTCAGGAGGCTTTGGTAGTGTTCTTTCCAACATAGTGCAATTGAGTTTTGGTCAAGAGGGCCAAACTACAAAGGCAAACACAGGATCACAGATGCATGTTGGTGAATAACCAAGACTAGGGCCATAACAGGGACCCCATCCCCGTCAAACACCTGGAAGGACGAAGTTTGGGTCCCAGGAAGGGTGCTTCCTTAACCCCGTTCTTGAAACCCAGAATCCCTTGGAAGGAAGGAAAGGATCCCAGGAACGGAAAGGGGAGCCTGCACTAAACCTTACCTTTGGTCAACGCAATGGGGCCAAAGTAGTTGGTTTCCATCACTTTCCTGTCGACCTCCACCACCGTCTCGGCGACGGAGCCTCGGTGACTGATCCCAGCGTTGTTGATCAAGACGTCCACGTGATCCACGCACTTTAGGATCTCCTCCGCGGCGCTCACCACCGCCTTGATGTCCGAGAGGTCAAAGATGACCGTGTGATGCTGATGGGGCTGTTAAAAGGGGAGCGACTGTTGGAAACAGCAACCTCTCAAAGCCTTTCACCATTTATTTGCTAATGGATATATTTGCTAACCTGTATTCTATGTCTATGTTGATGTGGGAGGTGTGGGAGGAGGCTACCTCTACGCAAAAACCCTCATAAGTATCCATGAAGTTGCAAAGTCAATCAGTGAGGGTTTTTGCATAGAGGTAGCCCGAGGCATATTTTTGCAACTCTGAAACAGAGGACGCCTCCAGGCTACTTCTATGCAAAAACCTTCATAAGTATCCATGAAGTTGCAAAGTCAATCAGTGAGGGTTTTTACATAGAGATAGCCTGGAGGCATCCTTTCGCAACTCCGAAACAGAGGACGCCTCCAGGCAACAACAATCAGGCTACCTCTATGCAAAAACCCTCATAAGTATCCATGAAGTTGCCAAGTCAATCAGTGAGGGTTTTCTGCATAGAGATAGCCTGGAGGCATCCTTTCACAACTCCGAAACAGAGAATGCCTCCAGGCAACAACAATCAGGCTACCTCTATGCAAAAACCCTCATAAGTATCCATGAAGTTGCAAAGTCAATCAGTGAGGGTTTTTGCATAGAGGTCGCCTGGAGGCATATTTTCGCAACTCCGAAACAGAGGGCGCCTCCAGGCAACAACAATCAGGCTACCTCTATGCAAAGTCCATGAAGTTGCACATTTGCACAGTCAATCAGTGAGGGTTTCTGCATAGAGATAGCCTGGAGGCATCCTTTCACAACTCCGAAACAGAGAATGCCTCCAGGCTACCTCTATGCAAAAACCCTCATAAGTATCCATGAAGTTGCAAAGTCAATCAGTGAGGGTTTTTGCATAGAGGTCGCCTGGAGGCATATTTTCGCAACTCCGAAACAGAGGGCGCCTCCAGGCAACAACAGTCAGGCTACCTCTATGCAAAGTCCATGAAGTTGCAAATTTGCAAAGTCAATCAGTGAGGGTTTTTGCATAGAGGTAGCCTGACTGTTGTTGCCTGGAGGCATCCTTTGTTTCAGAGTTGTAAAATATTGCCTCCAGGCAACAATGGCCAGGCTATCTCTATGCAGATACCCTAACTGATTCGATGTTGCAGCTTCACGAATGCTCAAAGCTAATAATTGAGACTTACGTTCTTTGCAGGATCGGCGGCGGCGGAGAGTTCCCGCAGAAGTTCCCGAAGCCTCTCCCCATTCCGGCCACACAGCACCAGTTTACAACCAGCAGCATGGAAGGCTTTGGCACACTCTGAACAAGAAGGAAAGTGACAGGAAACAAACAAACAAACAAACACAGAATCATGAAGTTGGAGGAGACCCCAAAGGTCATCCCATCCAGGCAGGAAAAGCACAATCAAGAAGGTCACCCTCCCCATTGAAAGTGTCAACAACCCTGCTATACGCCTGCGAGACGTGGACTGTCTACAGACGTCACATGCAACTCCTGGAAAAATTCCATCAGCGCTGCCTCCGGAAAATCCTGCAAATCTCTTGGGAAGACAAGTGGGGAAATGTCAACGTGCTGGAAGAAGCAAAGACCACCAGCCTTGAAGCGATGCTCCTCCGCCATCAACTCCGTTGGACTGGCCACATTGTCCGGATGCCCGACCACCGTCTCCCAAAGCAGTTGCTCTACTCCGAACTCAAGAATGGAAAATGAAATGTTGTTGAACAGGAAAAGAGATGGCCTCAAAGCCAACCTTAAAAATTCTGGCATAGACACTGAGAACTGGGAAGCCCTGGCCCTTGAGTGCTCCAGTTGGAGGTCAGCTGTGACCAGCAGTGCTGCAGAATTTGAAGAGGCATGAATGGAGGGAGAAAGAGAAACACGCCAAGAGGAAGGCGCGTCAAGCCAACCCCGCCCGGGACCGCCTTCCACCTGGAAAACGATGCCCTCACTGCGGGAGAAGATGCAGCGTAAGAATAGGGCTTGTAACTCAGCCAACATGCTGCTCTGGTGTTTTCTACTTGCAGGGAGGGTTTTTAACTCTACCAGGGGTAAATGAAATTATTGGGTTGTGTAGGTTTTTTCGGGCTATATGGCCATGGTCTAGAGGCATTCTCTCCTGACGTTTGCCTGCATCTATGGCAAGCAGACCTCACTACCTCTGAAGATGCTTGCCATAGATGCAGGCGAAATGTCAGGAGAGAATGCCTCTAGACCATGGCCATATAGCCCGAAAAACCTACAACAACCCAGTGATTCCGGCCATGAAATTATTATTATTATTATTATTATTATTGGTACAAAAGCACAGTATGTCACAGCAAACGAGCTCTATATGCTGGATTTCGTATCACAAAATCACAAGTCAAACATTTCCCAAGCAGCTAGGACTGTGTGATGAATTATTATTATTATTATTATTGATACAAAAGCACAGTATGTCACAGCAAATGAGATCTATATGCTGGACTTTGTATCACAAAATCACAAGTCGAACACTTCCCAAGCGTCTAGGACTGTGTGATGTATTATTATTATTATTACTATTATTATTATTATTATTATTTTAATAATGTATTATTATTATTCTATTATTTATTATTCTATTCTATTCTATTCTTCTATTACTATTATTACTATTATTATTATTATTGTGAATATTATTGTTGTTAATTAATTTTAACAGCACTCCACACAGTCATGCCCATGGCCACATCACCTTGGAGGTGTCTACGGACAACTCTGGCTCTCTGGCTTCGAAATGGAGATGAGCGCCAGAGTCGGACACAACTAGACTTAATGTCAGTGGAAAACCTTTACCTTTTAATTAATTTAATTTAAGTATTTTTTACTTAATTTACTACAAAGATAACCACCTGAAGCCTAACCCTGCCAAGACACAAGTGGGTGCTTTCCATCTTTGCAACCGTGAAGCCAACAGGAAATGTATTTATTATTTTATTTATTTACTGTATTTATATACTGCCTTTCTCGGCCAATTGGCGACTCAAGGTGGTTTCCAACAAATCAGTAATACATAAAACATAATAGATAAAAAACATTGAGCAGTATAAGACATCACAAAAACAATAAAAGCGACATCAGCATCTCATTATTCTCGAACATTGTCCAATTCCATTGTCAGGTCATTTGATTTCTCGTATTAGCTACTCTGTATTTGTAAACGCTTGCTCGAATAGCCACATTTTAACTTGCCTCCGAAATGTTAAGAGGGAGGGAGCAGATCTGATCTCCCTAGGGAGGGCATTCCATAGCTGAGGGGCCACCACTGAGAAGACCCTGTCTCTCGTCCCCGCCAAACGTGCTTGTGACGAAGGCGGGACTGAGAGCAGGGCCTCCCCAGGTGATCTTAAAGTCCTCAGTGGTTCATAAGGGGAAATATGTTTGGACAGGTAAGTTGGGCCAGAACCGTTTAGGGCTTTATAGGCCAAAGCCAGCACTTTGAATTGTGCCCGGTAGCAAATTGGCAGCCAGTGGAGCTGGCACAACAGAGGAGTTGTATGCTCCCTGAGCGCCGCTCCTGTTAACAAGCTGGCTGCAGATCGTTGGACTAGTTGAAGCTTCCAGACCGTCTTCAAAGGCAACCCCACGTAGAGAGCGTTGCAGTAATCTATACGGGATGTAACCAGAGCGTGGACCACTGTGGCCAGATCCGACTTCCCAAGGTACGGGCGCAGCTGGTGCACAAGTTTTAACTGTGCGAATGCTCCCCTGGTCACCGCCGAGACCTGAAGTTCCAGGCTCAGCAATGAGTCCAGGATCACACCCAAGCTGCGAACCTGCGTCTTCAGGGGGAGTGCGACCCCATCCAACACAGGCTGTAACCCTATGCCCTGTTCGGCCTTACGACTGACCAGGAGTACCTCTGTCTTGTCTGGATTCAATTTCAATTTGTTCGCCCTCATCCAGACCGTTACAGCGGCCAAGCACCAATTCAAGGTCTGGACAGCCTCCTTAGTAGCAGGTGGAAAGGAGTGACAGAGTTGGACATCATCCGCGTACAGATGACACCGCACCCCAAAACTCCAGATGATCTCCCCCAGCAGCTTCATGTATATTTTGAACAACATGGGAGACAGTACTGATTCCTGAGGAACCCCACAAGACAAAGGATGTGGGGTTCAACAGGTGTCTCCCAATAACACCTTCTGGGTGCAACCCTCCAGAAAGGACCGGAGCCACTGTAAAACAGTACCCCCCAGCCCCATCCCTGCGAGGCGTCCCAGAAGGATACCGTGGTCGACGGTATCGAAGGCCACTGAGAGGTCCAGCAGAACCAACAAGGACACACTCCCCCTGTCCAGCTCCCGGCGTAGATCATCCACTAAGGTGACCAAAGCTGTCTCAGTTCTATGTCCCGGTCTAAAGCCAGACTGTGCCGGATCCAGATAATCTGTGTCTTCCAAGAATACCTGGAGTTGAGAGGCCACCACACGTTGAAATTCACCAAATTAAAAGTCACTTGGGAAGGTCAAAAGCTTGAACGTTGTTTACATCCTAAATATCCTCCTCCTGTGTTGTGACGGACATCTCTGAGACCTGCGTACCTTTCCCGAGTCCGGACGTTGCTCCCGTGATCACCACCACCGCGTCCTTGAGGTAGGCCTTGGCCCGCATTCGCCGCAGCAGCCAGAAGACGCCATAGAGGCCCAGGCTGCCAAACAGCAGCGGAAGAACGGCCGCGGAGGTCAGACCCATGAGCCGGGCTTTCGGGCTGCTCCTCCTGGATTTGCGAGAAGGAAGCAAAGCAGGAGAATGTTACACCGGGTGTTTGCAAACTTCCAAACATTGCCCTATTTCGTTTCCCAGCTTTGCAGTATTTTGGGGTTCTGCTTTTGCCACATGTGGTCATTTGCAAACAAGAGTCCAAGGGTGAGACAACTTGCCACCAACTCTTGCTGACCACTTGGACGCTTCCTTGCGCCACATCTCAAATCGATCCAAGAGAGCCCAAGTATCCGTTCAGTAAACCAGATCTAGGAATGATACTTGTTTTAGTCGATTATACCCAAATCAGCACATTCTGGAAGTTGTTGACCTGAAATGCAACTTTTCAGGCTTCCCAAGAAATGGATATTCTAATGCAAAGACATGCATTAAATCCAGGCTTTGAAGCAACAACAATAACAACAACAACAAACAAAGAAACCGGAAGACAGCTGGGTTTGGGTCTCCTCCCTCCGTGTGGGTTGCCAATGTGTCACAAATGACAAAACACAATTATTTCAGAGGCCACGAACACTTGTACGTATGCCAAGGCACACGGTTGGGCATCTCATGTAGGCGCCAACTGAAAACATGAGTTCTCATGACTTGCCATGTTCTGTTTTATCTTTATCTACCAGTTGTGGAGGGTGGTGTGATCTTTTTGTGGTTGCTCTTTCACAAATCCGTAGGCAGCTTGACAATTACCTGGTTAAAATACAGCCTCTAATTTGTACTGAAAGGAAGACCCAATCCATTGGGGCAAACATCAACGAACTCTGATTGACTCTACAGGAAGGGCACCTAAGTCAATGGAAGATTTCTCTCAAAATATGCACAGGTTTGGGCAAATCCAGACCTGGGGCTGGATGCAGCCCCTTGGGCTCTTTTCTCAGACCCTCCTCTCTCTCACCACCCTATCCTTCCTTCCTTCTTTCTTTCCTTCCTTCTTCCCTCTCTTCCTTCCTTACCTCCTTCCTTCCCTTCCACCCTTCTTTTCTTTTCTTCCTTCACTCTTTTCTGCCTCACCCTTTCTCTGCCTCCATCCCCTTCCACCCTTTCCTCCCTTCTCTCTCTCCATCCTTCTCTTCCACCCTTTTATTCTTCCCTCCCTTTTGTTTTTTCTTCCTGCTCTCTTTCCTCCCTCTTTACTTCCCTCCCTCTTTCTCCTTCCATCCTTTCCTTGCAACCTTTCGTCCTTCCTTCCTTCCCTCTTTCCTCCCGCTCGCCTTCTTTCTTCTTCCTTCCTTTTTGTCTTTACTTCCCTCTTCCTTTTATCATTCCCTTCCTTTCTTCCATCCTTCTCTTTCTCCTTCCTTCCTACTCTTTTTTCTTCCTCCTTCCCTTTCACACTTTCATCCTTCTTTCCCTTTTGTCTTTCCTTCCTCCCTTCCCTCTTCCTTTTATCCTCCCCTTCCTTCATCCTTCCCTTCTTTTTCTTTTTCCTTCCCTTTTTTCCTTCCTTCCTTCCATCCCCTCACCCTTTTTCATCCTTCCTTCCCTCTCTTCTGTCTTTCCTTCCTCCCCTTCCTTCCCTCCTTCCTTCATCCTTCCCTTTCTTCTCTTTCATCCTTCTCTTTTTTCTTCCTCCTTCCCTTCCTTCCATCCATTCCACACTTCCTTCCTTCCTTTTTGTATTTCCTTTCTTCTCTCTTTCGTTCCTCTTTATCCTACTCTCTTTCTCCTTCCATCCTTTCCTTCCACCCTTTCATAATTCCTTCTTTCCTCCCTCTTTCTCTTTCTTTCTTTTCCTTTTATCTTTCCCTCCTTCCATCTCTCCCTCTTTCTCCTTCCATCCTTCCCTACCTCCATTTCATTCATCCTTCCTTCCTTCCATCACTGGGCAGCCAATCCTCCTAGTAAGGAGTGCTAACATGTGCCCCCCAAGTTAGAAAGTTTGCCCAGGCCTGGTGTAGCATAGAAATTATTAGTAAACACCACTGCATTTCTTTCAAAATGAAACAAAAAATAGATGCACATTTAAAAACAAACAAACAAATGTCAAGGCAACCCAGTGATTCCAGCCATGAAAGCCTTCGACAACACATTGAACATCTCTACGGAAAGCTACTGTTCCAACACACACGGAGATTGGAGATACACACACACATACATATACACACACACCCCACTTGCCTCACTAGCAACAGAACCTCATTAGCCACAGATGCAGGTGAAACGTCAGGAGAAAATGCTGCTAGAACATGGCCATTCAGCCCAGAAAACTCACAGCAACCCAAAAGTCAAGGCATTTTGAGAGTTAGTAAATCTGCTGGGAAATGTGAAACTCTGCACCTGCGATACATGGAGCAAATTTGCACACATTGTGTACGTTGCACAGTTTATCCTATCTGGATAGAAATGAACATCTTTTGCAAGGTTTATCACTTTGAGGTTAGATTTTAGGTGAATGCTACCCAATGGAACGCCTCTGCAGTTCCTCCCTGGCTTTGGAAATGTCAGAAAATGTTACTCATGCACCTTGGGGTTGAGAGGCTTGTGGTTTTTCAGGGTGAGCGGAGTAAGAAAATCATCGCTTTCCAGGTGCCAAATTTGGCGCCGCCTAATATTAACACCTGTGCTCCGTAATTACAGCCGAAGGCAAGATGACTAGGAACATGAGAAGCTGTTGCAACACGTTCTGGCCTTCCTTTCTGCAGGAACATCCGTTTTCTATGGAGACCGTCCCAGGTCCAATCCAAAAAGGTCCTGGAGAAGCGGTGCAAGGCTGAGTAGAAACGATGGGCTCTATGGGTCACACCAGGATGTTTCTATAGGACGCTACCTATTCCGAGCCAGATGTCCGGTGCATCAGTCATAGCATTATTGACCCTCTTGTCACCAGGTTTCTGGAGTTTCAAGGAGTAGAAAGAGCCAAGGTTGGCTACGGCACACTTCCCAGTGGAAATGTGGGAAGCCAATTGACTTCTTCCTCACATAATTAAGCTGACAAGCAGATGTAATTATGATAAATCTAATTCTCTGCAGCAACAACAAGACTTTGTTCTTCTGCAACAAGAAAAGTTCTATTATTTTCAATGGAAGCTGCAAATTGCAGGTTTGTTTTAGTCCAGAATGTTGATATAGAGATGCTTAAAAAGCTATTGGCACAATGTATTATTTCGGCACAGAAAACCTTCCAAAAGGTGATGCCCAAATTGTACTATATGTTATTTTGGCACAGGAAACTTTCCAAAGGACACTGCCAGAACAGGACACTGTTGTAGAACAGCAAGCACCCAAGGATTTGTCAGAGGGTAAGGGGGATGATGAGTTTCTAAATGAGTCTGTGTGTGATCGGAGAGATTTGCAGGCCTCAGATCAGAGAGAAGTGCAGGCAGATGACGCTGATGTTTTGGATTCCTGTGCTCGTTCCCAGGCAATCAGTCCCTGGGCTGATGGGGAATTTTCCCAGGAAACTAGATTAGGCCTGAGAACAGAGGGAGCCAAAAACAGACAAACTAGATATTCCCACAGAATCTGTGAAAAGGCTTTAAAGTCCAAGTGTGTTCGACATGATGTCATGAGTGCCTGGACGGGCTTTAATTAAGTAGTGTGGCTTCAAGCCTCTCAGAGGAGACAACATTGCCATAGGACACGGTTCTCCTGTCTCTGCTCTCAAGTTCATGATTCATGTATTCTCAGGATTCCTGCTCTGGTTCATGCCTTTGTTTTCTTGAAGGATTTACCTTGGAAAAATCTCTGTTACCATGTTTATAGATTTATGTTTGTACTGCTGTGGATTTCGGTTCTCTTAACTTTATGCTCTTTGTCATTTTTGGATTACTGCTTTTTTGTATTTTCTATTCTACTGGCCCTTTTGGAATTGCCCTTTTCCCTCTTTTTATCTTCTTTCTTTAATAAACATATTTAGATAGATAGGTCGGCAGATGAGGCGATATTTTGGATTCCTGTGCT